TCATTCTGATCCACATAAAATAATAAAAATTTGTTATCATCAATTAAAATACGCTCTCCCAAAATTAATTGGTGACAATATTATCATTAGAAGTTCCTGAATTTTTGGTTGAGCAATTTAAACAAGAACTTATATCTGGTTTTTGGAGTTGCTACAAAAATAATAGAAGTGGAAGAGGATGGAAGAAATTTGTTCTAACTTGTATATCTGAAAAAACAGCTTCATTATTTTCATAATATTTAATGGCCCAATCTTCTGACCCCAGACATTCATTTAAATTTTCTTTCCCCTCCATTCCTTTAAAAACACATCTATACCACCTATCAACACTTGAATATCTTGTTATATGATTACTAAATATTTGAACAAATACAGCTTCGTGACAAGTTAGAACAAATTTCTTCCATCCTCTTCCACTTCTATTATTTTTGTAGCAACTCCAAAAACCAGATATAATTTCTTGCTTAAATTGCTCAACCAAAAATTCAGGAACTTCTAATGATAATATACTTACAGGTGGACTGTTATATTCTTTATGTTTTTGAGCTTCATGTCTTCGTAAACCATTAATGTTTTTATACTCATAATCATTTTGACATAAATTGCACTTATAAATTTGGTTCTAATTTACAAAAATAGAATATAAAAACTATTAGATTAAGAAGCTAGAAAACAGCAAACAGTTGTCAACTACTTACTTGGACTTGGATTTGGTTCATTTTTATAATTATGCGTGCGTATATATATTTACATTTATCTAAAATTAAATGTATATAGATCAGTTATTTGACTATTTCTATAGTATTTTTGTCCTACAGTATATAGTGGGACGATTTGGTGGACTTTTTTTATATTATGAAACTTACCCTGGGACGATTTGGTAGACAATGTAAAGAATATACAACAAAAAAATATGTTTTTATGAAAATACAAAGTATTGCTAAGAATATCACCTGAAAAAAATTTTATTTACTAAAAAAAATTATATGTTTACTATGTAGTGAATTTAATCATCTATATGCATTGTACTAGTTAAAAAAAATAGATCAGCACTAATGACTAAAAATGGCCGAGCTGTTAAATAGAGTTGGTCAAAAAACTCCTTCAAGCTTGGTTCTATTTCTTATAGCAATCAATCTTTTCACTTACCTCTTCTTCCCCTTCCCCTTCCGCATCTGTGGTTTTTATCTCCTAGGTTCTCTTTTTAAAAGATTTTCTACAAAATTCATATAACAAATGTTACATAAAACAACATGTTACTTTC